CATAAGGTGGGCTTAATGTGTGCCAAGGTGGGTACGATGTGACATAAGCTGGGCTTAGTGTGGGCCAAGGTGTGTAAGATGTGCGAACCTGCAAACCCGGAAGGGTCAGCTGGGTCCTGCTCGGTAGCTGTCCAAGTCATCACTGGGTTGCTGCTGGACAATGTTGACTGATGGGTCAGACGGCAACGGAACCGACCTCTGGTCCATCTGGATCTAGGAGGTTCAGGTCTGTCCTCTGGACCTTCTGGGTGCCGATGAGCCAACAAGCTGCAGTCAGTCATATCATGATCCCTAACAGGAAGTTAAAAGACCTTGTCAAATTAAAAGACCTTCTAGGACCATCAGCACGTCTCTGTAATGGATTTTGGTGAGTGTATGGATAGATCTGACCCTGTGTGGATTGGAGAAAATCCAGAATAAATATTCAAACTTTTAAGAAATAAATCCTTAAAGCGGTTTGTTGTTCAATAATTCTACGCTGGGGGGGGGGGGGGGGACAGCCTCCCAAAATAAATCCTTAAAAAAAAAAGACCCAAATTAATGTGACATTCCTGATGAGAGGATAAAACATCTGACTGTACAGTTATTAAATGTATGACGTAATGTTTTTGCTGATGTTGTTTTCCTCTGTTTGACTCGGCATGTTTGTTTGTTTGTTGTTTACTCTTGTCTGTTTTGACCTTTCCTTTCTCTCCTCTGCAGTCACGTTTCATAAAACCCTCTGATTTGATCAGAGATGATGTTCAGCTGCTTTAAACCTCAAACTTGGCCCGTTGGGTCTGATCAGAGCTGTGTTTTTCCTGTCCCCTCCCATCATTACCCCCCTCCCCCTCCATTTTACGGGTCAAACGAAAGCTCCCCCCGAGGTGGGGGTTGAGGGTAGCAGGTCTTTGGTGGGGCGCGGTGCTGAGGCCCCAGTGTGAGACAGAAACATGTGGAGCTACAGGTGTGTTGGTCCTGGCCGATGAGGAGAATGTGTCATGATGAAGATCAGCATATATAGACTCACACTTCTATATATGACGGGAGATCTGAGCCCAGAACTGACCGAATGCAAGAACGTAGATCCGCTCACTGCAGCTTCTTTATTTCCCCTCAGTTTCACACGTCCTGACAAAAAAAAAAAAAATTACAACCAGAACAAACCCAAATGAGTCCAAATCCAACGTGAAGCGATGAGAGGAAATGCAAGAAGAAAAGCTGTGCCCAAAATTATTCATGATATTCAAAACAAGCATGATGAGTACGCACGCTGAAGTACTGAACGTTCCAGCAGCTAGCGCTGTTTTCTGAAGTACTGATGAGTCCGATGGAGGCGAGTACTGAGAGAAAACACCACGGCTCCTCCTCGGGTCACGGGTCCGTTAAGAGACCGACGGCCGCCCAAGGCTCTCCTCTCTGACCCGGTGACCCGCAGCCGGCTGACGTCAGGGTTCTGACTGCTCTCGTGTCGTTTGTCCTCCGCAGCGGCGCCGGGCCACGGGGCCTGCGTGGAGGTGGACTCGGACACGGAGGCCGTGGCCCACGAGGGCTTCAAACTGGGCTGCATCTCCTGCAAGATGAGAGGCGAGGTGCCCGCCACGGCCGTGGTCAACTGGTTCTTCAGGGCTTCAGACGAGAGCGAGTTCGCTCCGGTAAGTGGTCATGAGATACGAGACAAAGAGGTTTCTGAAACTGCATCCCTCACTAATGACTGAAGAGCTGCTGGCTCGCTCCAGGAGATCAACGGAAGCAGACATTTGACTTCTTTAACCCGCAGAAATCATTACAACATTTTACAGTCCGGAGGAAAACTTCCCTTTAGTTCCACGACTACAGGACAAAACTGATACCGGATCAAAACGAGTCCAACCGGACCTGAAGTGAACAAAAACACCAACAGATTCCACGAGTCGTCGTTTATTAAACACAAACTAAACGTTCAAGCTGCTTCTTCAGGATCTGAGGTCCAGGATCAGGAGCTGCTGGAGAACTGATCCTCATCAGTGGACCACCTCTACCTGCAGCATCCAGGTGTGTGTTAGCACAACGCCAAGGCAGAAAGACATCAGCAGTGACCTCAGAGAAGCAGCTGCTGCTGCCCATCCATCTGTGAAGGGTCAAAGGTCACCCGGAGCCCATCGTTCCACAGAAAGAACGTTTGTTCACACGTAGGAAACATTTCAGACAGCTGATTCACCCTGAAGGTCAGACCGTGCAGTGACTCTACAGGCCTCTGTCGACAGGTCAAAGGTCATGACCTCTTCTCTCTAAAAACAACATGGCAGCTCAACTTAAATTTTGAAAGTTTCTTCTGAAGGAACCACAAGACCTCTGGATGGACCAGAACCATACCAGAGGACAGATGTTTACCCAGAATGTACTGCAGCAAACAGCTCCTCCAGCTGTCAGCACGCTGGTGGAGGCTGATGGTTTGGGCTCCTTCAGACCCTGAGTGGACCAGAATTCCTCTGGAGACCAAAGGGTTCTGTCCAGCAGCTGAAACTTGGATCAAACTGGGTCCAACAGAACCGTGATCCCAAACACTGCAGCTGATCTGCAACAGAACGGGTCGGAAAGAACAGAACCAAGGCGCTGCAATGGGCCTGTCATAGTCCAGAACCTAAACCTGATTGAGATGCTGTGGTGGACCATCAGAGAGCTGAGCAGAACCTTCCATGATGGAAAGAAGAGTGGGCCAGACCTCCTCCAGAACCATGAAAGAAAAACAGAAAACCACTGAGGGTTCTGCTGCTGAAGGAGGTTCTGGATCAACTGGAACCAGTTTGTTTGATAAAAAAAGGACTCCAAGGAATCGATTGTTTTGTTCACTTGAGGTTCGTTTTTGTTTTAGACCAGAAAAGTTTTGTTTTATCCTGAAACCTAGCACTGAAAAAAGTCGGACCTTTATTCCACGACTACTTATTTTTATTTAATCTTTTATTTAAACTTTATTAAGTTGAAAATTTAAAGAAAAAGCACGAAGGAGAAAATTATTCACCAAATGTATCGCAATAGGTTTGAAGCTTCAAGGCGTTTGTGGTCTGGAAGTGTAGATTTGTGGAGTGAGTCGGCAGATAAATAAAAGTTTTATCAGAAATAATTCACTTTAAATACTGTTGGAGATAGTCTGGCTTCTTCCCTCTCGTGAGAAACGTTTGCATTTATCACGAAAAAGCCACGTCCTGCATTTTTCATGAGGGATTTTTCCTCCCGCTCTCTCACAAAGTGCTCCCTTCCAGTTGAAGCTTTTAGTTACTGAAGGAGGCCAAACGAGGAGGCAATCAGCTGAAAGCCTCAGCTTCACACCGAGCAGGAAGTGCAGAGACGAGACGGTTAAGTGCAGCTCAGTCGATACGGAGAGAAGCTGCTGAAAACTGCCAAACGTAAACAGATCAGACCGGAGCAGCAGCAGCTTTTTGATAAAGATTTGATCACTTTGTCCTCCAAAAACTAATATCTGGGGAATTACTTCTGCCTCAAGTTCATTCAAAAATCATTTATCACTTTCAGAGCTTCTTAGATACAATTTGAAATCAAATACCTGAAACTGCTCCTTTAAGATATTTTCAGACTCAAAACAACTTCTGGATTTTACCTGCGAGGTTCCTCAGGGCTTTATTTCCGGTCCTCTGCCAATTACTTCATAATTGTTTTCTTTGGTGTTTTCTTTAATATGAAACCAAAAGATTCCTTACTTTGTTGATGACTTTAAAGTCTCTTTGCCATAAAACAGCTGAGAAAGAGACAACTTAAACTCCTGTCAAAGACCAGGAGTATAAAGAGTCAGACCGTTTTAACGTCTGATTTGTTGGTTTAGAGCCGTCTTTCCTGCAAAGTTTATAGGTTATTTAACAAATACAAAATAATTGAACTAACAAAACCACAAAAACTCATCCCTGTGTATTTTCATGTTTATTGTTGGATTATTTTTCATATACTTTGTAGTGTTTTCAGTGTATGTTTATTACTTTTATGGAATAGTGAACATTTTTGTTGAAGGTTTAACTGCTGAGTTCATTGGTCAATTTTAGTTGGTTTCGAATGTGATTTAAAGCTAAATTTGACATATTGACATTAAATTAAAAACCATAAAGCTGATTCAAAACCAGTGATTCGGTGAGAAACAGAGACCATGATGGTGGCTCAAAAAGACATGAAAATTAACTCTGGACTTTCTTAATTCAATTAGATCATCTATAAAAAGTTTCTTTTTTTTAGAGTCAGGATCTTCTCAGTTTCTGTTCCGCTTCCTTTTTCAGTTGTACACCTATCAAAACAAAAACGGCGAAATCATCGACCCTCGTTTCTATGAGCGACTGGACTGGAACGGCAGCAAGCGGACCCAGGACCTGCAGGACGGCTCCATCTACATCCTCAATGTGACCTTCAATGACACCGGGACCTACATGTGCACCTTTGAGCGCACGCTCATCTACACCAACTACGAGTTCCAGACCAACACCAGCAAGATAATCCACCTCAACGTGGTGCCGAAACGTAAGAACTGAACCTTGTTCAACTAGTCCAACCCAACCCAAACCACAGTAAACCAATCCAGACCAAAACAAAATAAACAAACCTAACGTAACCAAACCAAACCAGACCAGACCAAATCGCAGCTGATTTGGGTTTCAGAACCGGTCTCATTCCTCTTCGTGCATTGCTCCGTTAAGTCTGAACAAACAAGTGTCCAGTCCTGGCCCTGCAGGGCGTCCATCCTGTGTTTGACCCGATTACTTCATGTCACCAAGTTCTGCAGAAGCCTGGTAATCCTCCATCCACTAAAATCAGATGTTCTGAGGAAGATATATCTGAAACCTGCAGGACTGAGGCTTTACAGAACCAGAACTGGACATCAAACATATTAAACTCAACCCTGCAGCTTTTGTAGCATAAAAACCAACGAGCAGGAAGGGAACAGCTCCAATGATGGCTTTGCATCAGTTTTAATGTCTATTTTGTTGTTGTGCATCAGAAAAAGGTTTAATAATCAGAAAAACATTTGTTTTCTCTCCATAGATTACACACAAATCACGTAAAAAAAAAACTGGAGATCTGATTCCTGCAGGTTGTTCGGTTTTTTACGGCCTCACTGTTTCCATTTATTAAATTTTAACCCAGTTTGTTTTATTTGCGAGCTGCTGGCAGCTGCGCTCTGAACTGATTCTCCGGCAGTAAAACGTCGCAGAGCAAACAGCAAACGGTAAACAATAAACGTGTGGACAAAAAAAACCAGAGTGATGTTTGCAGACGAGGGATTCGGACTCAGGTCATAAAGCATCAGATGAAGTTCTTAAAACCCAATATTATCTTCATTCGTCTATTCCAATTAATTATACAGCTGCCGTTGAAAGCAATGAGAGTTTGAGGTAAAGGTGGAGGTTTGGAGCTAAAAAGATCAAATGTATCAAATGTTTTAACAGTTTAACAGATGGACTTGGATTTGAGTACGACACCTCACAGAGGCCCGTTAAGGTTCATTTACTAATTAACTGTGAGGCTTTAAACTGAGTCCTCAAATCAAAGTGATTAGGACCCTGTTAACACGACATTTTTAAGTGAAACCGTAGCATTGTTGCTGGGTTTCGTCTGCCCGTGTACACAACAGCGTTTGTTTCCTCTCAAACACCCGGCCGGCATCGGTGTGACACGTGTGAACTGCAGACGCTGCAGGTCGTCCTCTGAGTAGATGAACACTAACAATGGAGGACAGCAGAGTGCTGTTTGTCCTGATCACCGTCCTCAACATGCAGGAGTGACAACATCATCATCATCGGTCCAAACCACCGTTTTGTAGTTGCCATACTGGATCTGTTTTAGTGCTCCAGACTGAAGCGTGTTGGTGAAAGACAAAAATCACAGCGGTGACACGGCATGGAAACTACAGAAGATTCAACGAGCGCAGCGTTACCGTGCAAACGCGGAGTTTTTTTTACAATCAGCATCAGAAAAGCACTAACATTTCCAGAAATCTTTCACGTCTAAATCGAGCCTTAGATGTGAATCTAGAACCTCACGGGGAACATCAAAAGTTTAGAAAACAAAACGCTGTTTATAAACCCCAACGCTAAAATACAGATGTTTGATTCATGGCAAAAATATTCGATATCTAAACAGCAGTTGTGAGGATTTACAAGCATTACTATTAATAATATTAATAGTTTATTATTCCTGCATTACATATCTGCGCCTGTTCAGTGACTACTATTGTGAACCTGTTTATATTATATTTATTATTATTATAGTTATTTTTACAGCATACCTATTTCACTGCATATAACTAATTCCTTACAGTGTTTAACTGTATTTCACTGTAAATTCATAGTATTTAACTATTTCACTGTAAATTCTTAGTGTTTAACTGTATTA